CATGTCCTGCTGCTGCTGTGTTAACCTCACACAGACTTTGTCTCTTCTCTTCACACCGCGTTTGTGAAACTATATATTACACAAGTTGACAGCCAAAAAATGGTCAGGGGTTTCTCAACTGATTTAGACTAATGTTGGTGTTCTGAGTCTGAATATCACATGCATTTGTCTCTATCAGGTCAACTTTTTGAGATACAGCCATAGTGTTACGGATTATGTACGTCTACGACTTTTATTTCTTGAGGAAAACGGAAAAAACGTCAAGGGTTTCTCAGCTGATGATCCGCAGAAATTAGTTTTTTACGCAAAATCGATTTAAAAAAATATTTCTGTAGCAAAAAATCCTGACCTGATTGAGCAAAACCAAGGTCCTTTTCGGACTCAGAGCATCAAAATTAGTCTAAATCAGCTGGAAAACACTGGACTATTTTCAAAAAATATTTTTTTGTTACCCAGTGTTATAATAGATCCAAGGTAAAACTCAGTAGAGCCTCTGTGTAGGGTGCTGCGTCTGAACGCAGTCTTGTTTACATGTTGCCTCATTTCCTCGTGCCTTTGAACGCATCTGGACGCTAGCTGTGCTCAGGCTGTGTGAGTGAGAACGTGAAGATGGAACTCTAGAGCAGAAAAAGTGTTTTTTGGCAGTACTTTCAGTCCGAAGAAGGTGATTCTGGTCGAGCTACATGTTCAATTTGCAATGCCGATTTGTCTCGTGGTGGTAAGTACCCTAAACAGTACACAACATCGCCGCTGTTAAAACATTTGCGTATGAAACATTAATGGACTGAGGATGGAGTAGGATTCGGCCGAATCTTAACCAGTAGATTCGGTATTTGGCCGAACTCCAAAAATCTGGATTCGGTACATCCCTAAAAGTTACTAAGACACGCCGCCCACCTTAACTAACAGATAAAAACAAGGAGAGTACTGGTCAGAAAGGAGACCAAGTGACGCAAGATGAGTCCGGTGGGGGAATCTGTACATGACTCAGTCGTAATCTATACAAATAGGGCCTTTATGGTTGAGTGGCATTGTTGAAAGGAGGCCACAAGAAATGCTGTTTTTAAATTTGCCAGAAGTCCTGTACACAGCTATCAATCAATCAATCAATCAAATTTTATTTATAAAGCGCTTTTCATACAAAAAGTGTAACATAAAGTGCTTTACAGTTTAGTTAAAAACAATCCAACATGCCCAGCCCTAAACCCTCCTCCCCACAGACCCCCCCAAAACCACATTTATAATTATATATACAACCACATGCGTATACACACAGACACACATATATACACACACAGACACACACTGCCGCACACACACAACAGCTGGCTCTTGGGACGTGGAACGTCACCTCACTGGGGGGGAAGGAGCCCGAGCTTGTGGGGGAGGTTGAGCGATACCGACTAGAGATAGTCGGCCTCACCTCCACACACAGCTTGGGCTCTGGAACCCAACTCCTTGAGAGGGGTTGGACGCTCCACTTTTCTGGTGTTTCCCGTGGGGAGAGAGGCGGCGAGCTGGGGTGGCCATTCTCATTGCCCCCCATCTCAGCCGCCACGTGTTGGAGTTCTCCCCGGTGAATGAGAGGGTCGCGTCCCTCCGCCTCCGGGTGGGGGACAAGTCTCTCACTGTTGTGACGGCCTACGGGCCTAACGGCAGTGCAGAGTACCCGGCCTTCTTCGAGTCCTTGGGAGGGGTACTGGACAGTGCACCGCCCGGGGACTCCGTTATTCTCCTGGGGGACTTCAACGCCCATGTGGGAAATGCCAGTGACACTTGGAGAGGGGTGATCGGGAAGAGCGGCCCCCCTGATCTGAACCCGAGCGGTGTTCAGTTGTTGGACTTCTGTGCCAGTCACAGTTTGTCCATCACGAACACCATGTTCGAGCACAAGGGTGTCCACCAGTGCACGTGGCACCAGGACACCCTAGGCCGGAGGTCGAGGATCGACTTTGTTGTCGTATCATCTGACCTTCGACCGCGTGTCTCGGACACTCGGGTAAGAGAGGGGCGGAGCTGTCAACCGATCATCACCTGGTCGTGAGTTGGATCCGCTGGCAGGGGAAGAAGCCGGTCAGACCTGGCAGACCCAAGCGTATAGTGAGGGTCTGCTGGGAACGTCTCGCTGAGCCCCCTGTCAGACGGACTTTCAACTCACACCTCCGGGAGAGCTTCTCCCAGGTCCCGGTAGAGGAGGGGGACATGGAGTCCGAGTGGACCATGTTCTCTGCCTCAATCGCCGATGCGGCGGCTCGTAGCTGTGGTCGCAAGGTCTCTGGTGCTGGTCCCGGCGGCAACCCCCGAACCCGGTGGTGGACACCGGCAGTAAGGGATGCTGTCAGGCTGAAGAAGGAGTCCTATCGAGCCATGATGGTTCGGGGGACTCCTGAGGCAGCTGTCCAGTACCGGCAGGCCAAGCGTGCCGCGGCCCGGGCTGTTGCAGAGGCAAAAACCCGGGAATGGGAGGAGTTCGGAGAGTCCATGGAGCATGACTATCGGTCGGCCTCAAAGAGATTCTGGCAAACCGTCCGGCGCCTCAGGAGGGGGAAGCAGTTCTTTGCCAACACCGTGTACGGTGCGGGTGGAGAGCTGCTGACCTCGACGGGGGATATTGTCGGCCGGTGGAAGGAATACTTTGAGGTTCTCCTCAATCCCCCCGTCACGTCCTCTGTTTCAGAGGCAGAGGCTGAGGATGTTGGGGCGGATACATCCATCTCCCTGGCTGAGGTCTCCAAGGTGGTTGGTAGCCTCCATGGTGGCAAGGCTCCGGGTGTGGATGAGATCCGCCCTGATTATCTAAAGTCTCTGGATGTTGTAGGACTGTCTTGGCTGACACGTCTCTGCAACATCGCGTGGCGATCGGGGGGGGGTGCCAATGGAGTGGCAGACCGGGGTGGTGGTCCCTCTCTACAAGAAGGGGGACCGGAGGGTGTGTTCCAATTATCGTGGGATCACACTCCTCAGCCTCCCCGGTAAGGTCTACTCCAAGGTACTGGAGAGGAGGCTACGGCCGATGGTCGAATCTCGGATCCAGGAGGAGCAGTGTGGTTTTCGCCCCGGTCGCGGAACACTGGACCAGCTCTATACTCTCCATCGGATACTCGAGGGTTCATGGGAGTTCGCCCAACCTGTCCACATGTGCTTTGTGGATTTGGAGAAGGCGTTCGACTGTGTTCCCCGGGGTGTCCTTTGGGGGGTTCTCCGGGAGTACGGGGTCGGGGGTCCTCTGCTGAGGGCCATCCGATCCCTGTATGACCGGAGCCAGAGCTGTGTTCGCATTGCCGGCAGTAAGTCAGACCTGTTCCCGGTGAATGTTGGCCTCCGACAGGGCTGCCCTTTGTCACCGGTTCTGTTCACTGTATTTATGGACAGAATATCTAGGCGCAGCCAGGGGTCGGAGGGGGTCCGGTTCGGGGACCACAGGATTTCATCTCTGCTGTTTGCGGACGATGTTGTCCTGTTGGCTCCAACGAACCAGGACCTGCAGCATGCACTGGGACGGTTTGCAGCCGAGTGTGAAGCGGCTGGGATGAGAATCAGCACCTCCAAATCTGAGGCCATGGTGCTCGACCGGAAAAAGGTGCCCTGCCCTCTTCAGGTGGGTGGAGAGGTCCTTCCCCAAGTGGAGGAGTTCAAGTATCTCGGGGTCTTGTTCACGAGTGAGGGAAGAATGGAGCGTGAGATTGACAGGCGGATCGGTGCAGCGTGCGCAGTGATGCGGTCGCTGTATCGGACCGTGGTGGTGAAGAGGGAGCTGAGCCGAAAGGCAAAGCTCTCGATTTACCGGTCAATCTTCGTTCCCTCCCTCACCTATGGTCATGAGCTTTGGGTAATGACCGAAAGAACGAGATCGCGGATACAAGCGGTCGAAATGAGCTTCCTCCGCAGAGTGGCTGGGCGCTCCCTTAGAGATAGGGTGAGGAGCTCAGTCACACGGGAGGAGCTCGGAGTAGAGCCGCTGCTTCTCCACGTCGAGAGGAACCAGTTGAGGTGGCTCGGGCATCTGTTCCGGATGCCTCCTGGACGCCTCCCTAGGGAGGTGTTCCGGGCACGTCCCACCGGGAGGAGGCCCCGCGGAAGACCTAGGACACGCTGGAGGGACTATGTCTCTCAGCTGGCCTGGGAACGCCTTGGGGTCCCCCCGGACGAGCTGGAGGAAGTGTGTGTGGATAGGGAAGTCTGGGCGTCTCTGCTTAGACTGCTGCCCCCGCGACCCGGCAACGGATAAAGCGGAAGAAAATGGATGGATGGACATTGAGAAAAAGTTGATATTTGTGCGTATTTGTCATAAGCTTTTTGCTTCAGCCCACTCCTTTTGGGCACGGTGTGTGCTGCTCAAATAAACAAATAAACTAAACTAAACTAAACTAAGAATCAAATACATATACTCCATTCTTTTTCCTTCCATCATTAAACTCTATCCCATATAGGCCTACACCTTTCTCCTTGATCTTTTTTGGATGACCATTCTGCTTTTGTCCATATGAAATCAAATCAGAAGAAATGCTGTAGATACAGCAGTTTATTTCAGATTATTTACAATATAATGGTAATAATTATTGGTATTTCTGATGACATTTTTTATTGTTATTATTATTATTTTTATATTTTTAAACAATATCAGATATCATGTGGCACAAGTTTTTTTTTTTGGAATACAGATTTGTCCAAAACCTTTCCCATACAATATATAAAACAATGACAGAACACTAACAGCAAAACAGACCCCCCAAAAAAAGATAAACAAATAATAATAACTAATTAAAAAACACAAAAACAAAAAAAACAACTAAGAAAAGTAAAGCAAAGGGAAAAGATATTTCTGAAGAAATATTACTGTATATGACAAGCATTAAGCCAATCAGATGCGCAGGTTCACCTGCCCAAACGCCCTTTAGCTGATACACGTGTTTTCATTGGAAGGAGCGAGTGTCCGTAAAATCTAGTTCAAAAACCCGCGAGGCAAACACAACTCTAATGTTTTATATGTTTTATCCTCAATGACGATCCTGGGGGAAATTAACTATATCCGTTTCATCACGGATATTTGGCGCCACTTTCTCAAGAGGAACTCTGAAACTAACCCAGGACTTTTGTGGAGAACAACAGCGGGAACCGGGCCCGGACTTTGCCGGGATGACGAGAGGAGTTTCTACGCATCATACGCACAGGAACCCGGCGCGGTATCAAAGGCTCACAGCGGTCACCGGACAACGGGACACAAGGGTGACACAGAGTCTGACAGCACTAGGACGTTTGAGGACAGCAATGGAAGTGGACAGATGAGCTATGGAGTTGTCAATGGATGCGCCATGGAGGAGAAGGACACCATGGAGACTCCATTGGTGAGTGTGCTTTGGTATCGCTGTTGTTGTGAGTACAATGGTATACCCATATAATGTAATATGAGAGAGGTGAATTGTGACCGCTGTGGTTGGGGAGGTGATGCGTCATGGCGCATGGAGCGCACGTTGGAGAGCATCTGATCGCGGTGAAGCTAGCCTTGTCTCCAGCCTTGCCGAAACCATGGGTGCGCTTGTTTTGAACACCGTCACTTCCCAAGAAGTTCCGTGCGGGGTGTGGGCTGCTGCGTTGTACGCATTGAATTATATAGAAAATAGTTCTACGGTCTCCAATATTAGGTGAACAAAACAATATGGAGGATATCCATCACTCACTGTTATTACCGTAGTTGATATTTTCGTAAAATGCGCACTTTGTCAAACCACTGCCATTAGGCATAGTTGTTGTAAAGAAGTTAGCACAGAAGTTTTTTTTTTTTTTACGATTTATGGCAGTTTCATTTGTGTCATTAATTGCAGCACAGTCAGTAGCTAATTATTCCAAATAATGATGCATAATTTGGATGATTTATGACATAGACCCATATCCATTCATACATTCATGTGTCAACATTACACTTCAGGTCTGTTCCACAGTACCTTTGCATGTCTTCAACTAATTTTCTACTCTTATTTGATTTTGTATTTTCTATGAGGAACTTATTTCATAAGCATCATCAGCATTACGCCACATTGAGGCAAAACTATGCGTTCTTGTGTCACCATTACACTTCTACTCACTTCTACAGCGCGTCTTCGTGTCTCTCACCAATTTACAGAAAAAATTATGTACTGTTCACAAATAAGGGGCTTATTACAATGGAATACTCACAACATGTCAAAAATATTGCCAAACCAATTAGAGAGCTATCACACCACGTCTCAGTAAGACAGGGTCTCCTCTTGGCCCTCACAATTATTTGCACAAAAATAATGCAGCCTTTCACAAATACAATGTCTTTATACTGGGGCTGTCATCTTTACACCATATTGAGGCGAAACTAAGTGTTTTTGCGTGACCATTACACTTAAGGTCTGTTCCACCGTACCTCCACATGTCTTCACCTCATTTTCTACGTAATTTGATTTTGTATTTGTCTATGACAGCCATTCCCAAACTCAGTAACACCGAGGCCCCCTTAAAAATCTGACGGGTCTGCGTGGCCCCCCAAAATAATAACCAAGAAGACAACATTAAGAATAGGCTCGTCTGGTTATTTTATTTTGGGGAAATAGCCTCTGCTACAAACATTGTAATACAAAAATGATTACAGTGGATTATTCAAGTCAAATAATGAACACAAATATTTCAATATTACAAACAAAAGATTATAAATTTAACATTAAATTTTTTTTTTTTTTTTTTATGACCTCCCGCGGCCCCCCTGCAGTACCCTCGCGGCCCACCAGGGGGCCGCGGACCCCACTTTGGGAGACACTGGTCTATGAGGAACTTATTACATAAGGATCATCAGCATTACGCCACAATGAGACAAAACAAAGTGTTTTTGTGTCAATATTACACATCTACTCGTTTCTATGGCGTGCCCCCATGCCCCTCACAAATTTACAACAACAAATTATGCAGTGTTCACAAATACGGAGCTTATTACACTGGAATACTTTGTGATGCATATATATTTTTTTTATTGTACACTACTTACAATAAAGTAGTTTCTGAATTGGGTTAAATGTACATATCTTCAATGGGGGCGATGTTTTATCCATCCATCCATCCATTTTCTTCTACTTTTCGGTTGCCGGGTCGTGGGGGCAGCTGTTGGAGCACCAGCCCCTATGGCTCCTCCTGCAGGGGGTGGGTCCACAGAAGGACGGCCTCATGGTTCTAACCGGGCCTGTTGGTCTCTCATAAGGGGCTTCTGAACCGCTCTTTGTCTGACCCGTCACCTAGGACCTGTTTGCCATGGGAGACCCTACCAGGGGCACGAAGCCCCCGACAACAGAGCTCCAGGATCATTCAGGCTCAAACCCCTCCCCCACGTTAAGATGGGGGCTCCGGGTGATGTTTTAGTAGATATCTAATATGGTCGTAATTCACAGGATATATTGTACAAAATGCTTGAGTTGAAACATCTTCATTGTCATCAATGCATAAATGTCAACTTTTACGTATTTCCCAGCTCAATAATGGTTTTGCTGCCATTGTGGCTTTCATGTAGGGCTGAACGATTAATTGGATTTGCAATTTTATCACGATATTACACAATGTGATTTCGTAATCGCAGGGCAGGCGATTTTAGAAGTGAATGGAGGTGTGAGATATGGCAGCAAAGTCCACTCCGCCGTGAGCTTTTGTTTACGTCTCAGTCTAGTTCAGGTGCGGTAGATTGTGGATCTACAGTGAAAATATCAGTGTTTATCCTGCAGCCACCGTGAAGGGACTATTGCTTTCTTCTCCGTTAGCTTTGCGTTAGCCGCAGCGCTAATCACGCCATTCTCTCGCTGCTACTACATACTGATGATCACAGAAACTCCCTCAGCTCCGGATTCTTGCGCCTCTGCCTCCACAGAGATGGTGAGCCTGTGCTGCTGGTAAAGAGTAAAGAGTCGTTTGTGGCTCAGTTTAGGCTTATGTTTGGGAATGTTGTGGATAAAGAACTTATCTCAAAAGCATAATGACGGTTCATAACCATAAAGTATCCGGATACTGTGCCTTTATTTACCTTTGCATCTGCCGCATCTGCTCCGTAGGTACAGACGCGAGATATAAACACTAAACTGCTGTAGGGAAAGTGTTGGAGACTCCGATCCGAGGCAGGAGTTCGTGTCATGTCTTATTTTGCCGTTTAAGCTGAAATATCACTAAATGGCTGCGAGTCAAAGTGAAAGTAAAACGTGTCTGTGTTTGGCCTCATGTCCCGTCTCCTTGTGTCATTGTTCTTCTCTTTCTTCATATTGTCCAAAGTCCCAAATCTAAAATGCTGCTCCTAATTCCACTGTGTTTTGGCGTGTGCTCCATCTGGCCTCTCCGTGTCCACCAATAACAAACATCTGAAGCAGTGACTACGAGTCGCTCAGACAGGGATCTGATTGGCCGAAATAATAAATAATAAATAGTTTATTTTGTATTAATTGGGAGTTTGATTTCCTAAAATGTTTCTAATAGTTAAAGCAGTGGTTTGTTCTTACTTTTCCTGCACTTTAGTGGGTGATGTTACTGACGGGATCAATGAGTTTTATCTTTTTTTTAATATCTATATAATTTATCTTTTTCATTTATTTATTTATAGACTTTACTGACAGTTTGTAAGAAGTGCAGTCCACATGTTCACAAATGAAATAGGTCAAGCAACAATTTTGTTTGCTTTATTGTTGCAATTTTCACTTCAAATTAATCTAATATTGTTTATTATGAAACAGGCTGATTTATTGCTTGTGTTAGGTGAAAAATACATGAGAAGAGGAACAACAATAATTGCATATTTTATCGCAATATTGAAGAAAAAAATCGCAGTTACATTATTTTCCAAAATTGTTCAGCCCTACTTTCATGTATCCTTTTATGTGCATGTAGTTTACGGATTCATATAATCTGGAAGATGGCTCACTCTTCACTCAAAACGCAAATAGTGTTGACATACAATGGTTCATCTTGGATTTGATACATGATCAAGTTGTGTGATTTGAAATGTGACTGAAGAAATTGATTCCCTGACCATGAAAACTTGGGGAGTTAGGTGTGGTTACGATTCTAAGTATCCTAATCATTGTCATCTGCCAAATAATTACTTAATTGGAGTGACGGTGACACAGAGAGTAGAGCGGATCATCTTGTGATCCGAGGGTGGCGGTTCGAACCCCGCAGGTGCACACTGTTGTTGTGTCTTTGGGCAAGACACTTCGCCTCCAGTCTCTGCGTACAATGGTGTATGAATGAGTGACTGGTTCCTTGATGTAAAGCGCTTTGAGTGCCTAAAACAGGTTGAAAGGTGCTTTATAAATGTGCATTTACCATTTAATTACGTGAAAGAAACTACATTTAGGGTGAAAAAAGGGTAAATTGACACAGCCAATAAGGTTTCACTTATTAATTACAAATTAAACATTAATTAAAAAAAAATTAAAATGTAAAATATATTATGAGGATTGTAAAAAAAAATATATATATATTTATATATAAAATATAAAATATATAATTATATATATATATAGTCATCATTTTTGTTTTTTATAAAACACCATTATCACTTCAAAAACTTACCAAATAACCTTTTTTTCTTTTGTGTGACCTGCAATTTTACTCTGTTTATTAGATCAATATTTGAGGCATATATATTTTTCATTTGTGTCCCTATTTTCAACATAGAATTACAATATTTGTTTGCACAAGAGGACAATATAAAAACCTAATGTATTGCAGTACTTGTATTGACCACTATGGCGCACTTCAGCATTTTTTCCTGCAGTACTAACTTTTGCCAGAGGGGGCGCTCCAGAGTAAAAAGTGTGTGAAATTCAGGGGAACAACACTCATTTTTCTACCATTTTGAGGACTTTCCCTGGGAAGCACCAGGGAAACTTCAGGAACCCCCCTCATGCTTTTTTTACTTTCGCAAAGTGAGGACAGGCCAAAATGTCCTCACTTTGAAAAAATGTCCTCAGTCTGTTGGTCTAAAACTCGTTGATGTCCTCACTCTGTGGGGCTTACAAGAACACACACACACACACACACACACACACACACACATATACACATATACACACACACACACACACACACATACACACACACACAGACACATATACACACACACACACACACACACATACCACACACACACACACACACACACACACACACACACACACACACACACACACACACACACACACACACACACACACACACACACACACACACACACACACACACACACAACACACACACACACACACACACATACATACATACATACATACATATACATACATACATACACACACACACACACACACACACACACACACACATACACACAGACACATACACACACACACATACACACACACACAGACACATACCCACACACACACAC